CAAGGGAACTGCGAGTGACATTGTTGTGCGTGACGAGTTCAACATCGGCAAGACTTATCAACTACTACAACACGCTCGGTGAGGTGAGCATATAGCATATCATCGATACCAAACCCTCACGCAATTAGTTACTCGATATCTAATTGATTATATTTAAGTTCTTATTTCTTATATATGGTTTAAATACAATTCGTCGTTGGCTTATTATCTATAGTCTAGAATGATTATTTTATCATTTAAATATTAGTACTAGTAATATTAATAGCAGAATAATAATATTGATGGATGATAAATTTAGAATATTCTTATTATTTTATTCTAGAAAATACGTTATTCGAATATATTAAAATTGATTTGAAAAATATGTTTTTGATTTTCTTCGAAGTCGTCTGGAATAAAGGAAGCTTGAGATTCAAATATGATAATATATTCTCATTAATTAAGTTTTTGATTTCCTCTTGGATCTCGTCGCCGACCCATTTGATTATATACTCCGAATATTAGAATTTAATTTCTTCATAATTTGGATAGTTTCATCGCTTCTATACTTGATTTCAATATATGGTTAGGCGCTCTGCGGCTCCCTTGCCTCCCCTATTATGGTCCAGGATCCATCTCCCCTTGGGGGAGGGGTGGGGCTTGGGGTTTTGGGATTCAGTTCAAACTCATGAGTTTGGGATTGAGGATTTCAAATTAGAGATTATAAGGTTGCGAGTCGATAAGAATTCAGGGCCCGTATTGAACGACAAGCTGGCAATTTTCTTGGAACGAAGGTCACTTGCCCTGGAACCCTAAACCGTCTGCCTGGCATTACTCTGTGCCCACTGGCCAGGTCTCGCAGCTCTGTCAAGTGAGCGGCAGGTCCGTAGCGGCACTCAGGCCCTCAGGTCCCCAGGTCCCTAGGTCCCAGGTTCTTGGTAAACTACTAACAAGCAAGAAGTAATTTTTCAGTATAGGTTGTTGCTGGGGGGCCTTGGTGCGTACCCACACAGTGTGTTGCTGTGCCACCCGAAGTCGCAGCAAAGCTGTTTCCTTTCCTGAAAAAAAAAAAGCTCTGGCAAGCCAGACTCATTCCGCGGAGATATCGAGTACATGGAAGGATTAAGACGAGAATCTGGTCAAATGCCTCTAATTCCATGAGAATGAACGTGCCTCGTCGATAACGGTTGGGATGCCAGCACAGGCCGGAGCTTGTGATTTATAGGATATGAGATTGCGCATTTGCTTTGGTTCCCCTACATCACGGCCCCATCCCTTAAATTTTTTCGCAAGGGTCGGGGGCTCTACCTAGGACTTGCTGAGATCTATCTGGAGGGATCGATTACCTCCCAAAATCGAACAACTAAGATTGGAGGCACTAGACCGACATACTTCAGTTAACATAAGACCATTTTAGATCAATAATTCTAAGGTATTTTCAGAAAGGCACGACCTTTTATCGAATCAAGAATTTGATGATAATAAAGAAAATTTGAATATCATCAATAAGAATAGAATTTATTTATAATTAGGATGAGAATATCGATATATTTTGTCGATATAAGATATTATATGATTCCGTTGATTTTTATTTGAGAATAAGAAAAATAATATGATTTTCTTAATGAATACTAGTTATATATAAGAAATATGGCTATATTCGTGATTTATTGATATCTTTGGTCTCTTATAATTTGATCCTCTGATATATTTTTCCCACGCGCGAATATTTAATTCTCGAAATTAAGATCTTAGATATTTTTATAAGTTTAGATTATCTAAACTCTGGGAGTTATTAATTGGTATGGAGTCATATATATATATAAATAAGATTCAAAAATATATATAAGAAGGTATTTCTCTTTGGTATATTGATTTAAGGATAATATCATTTTTTTGTGAATAACAATTCGGAATTATTTTTTTTTCAAAAAATAAGGTCGATATAGATTGGATGGAGCGATAAAATTGAATATTTGATTAAATATATAATTTTGAAAAGATATCTCTATATCTCGGATTTCTATAATATGAAATTATAAAAAGATTTAAGAATTATCGATTATACTATAGGATTTGAAATTTTATAATTTGATATAAAAAATAATGATTATAAAGAATTAGAGATCTTAATAATAATAGAATATTTTAGAATCTATTGAGGGGAGGTATCACTATATTTATATGAAATGAATATATTTTTCCAAACTACATCATCCATTTGACACCCAATATTGCGTTCCGGATGCTGTCGAAAGGAACATCTTCAGGCGACTCATGGAAGGCCCAACTGCCTTTGCAGATGACAGGATCCGACTGTACAACAAGCTGAACCAAATGGAAAAGGAGCTCCGCTATGAAGAGGCAAGATTGCATTCTACATTGCCCGATCACACACGGGAAGTGCTTCAGGGTAAGAATTTGCTTCTTTGGGCCCAGCTGCTGAAAGAGACTTCCTTTCCCGATGAGGGTATCTTTGAGCTCATGAAAGGTGTGGATCTAGTGGGGAAGCCTGACAAATCTCCACTCTTCGAGACAAAGGAGGTGCCCGCAACGTCCACCGAGGAGCTTCTTCTTGAGTCGGCGGCATGGAGACGCGAGCGACTCAAGGCCAGAGATGCGCACCGGGACGATGCGGAAGCCGCGCAACAGATCTGGGAATGTACGCTGAAGGACCGGGACAATGGGTTTCTTAAAGGTCCATTCTTGGATGAAGAAGAGGTTCGGCAGCATCTTGGGGTGGAAGAGTTTGTTTGCTCCCGGCGTTTTGTCATCGAGCAAGGAATATCCGAGAAGCTTAAGCTTAGACCCATTGACAACTACAAAGAGGGCGGCATCAATGAAGCTTACCACAGCCTAGAAAAGCTGGCTCTCTTCGATGTCAACTGGATAACTGCTTTTGCCTTGTATATTGCTCGCGTCTCAGACACGACCGCAGATGTTGAAATCATCTTGAGCACCGGGGAGATCTTGAGGGGAAAGATGCATCAGGCTTGGAAAGACAAGAAGCCCAGGTGGCAAGGGCGCGCATTGGACTTGGAGAAGGCCTACCGTCAGGTGCCACTGTCTGTCAGCTCCTTGAAGCTTGGAATTATGATGGTCACCAATCCAGACGATGGGAAACCTTGTTACTTTGTGGCGCAGAGCTTGCCCTTTGGCGCTTGCTCGTCCGTCTTCTCATTCAACAGACTGTCAAGGTCAATTCTGCATTTCAGTTGGACTTTGGTGGGCATGGTTTCAGGATGCTTCTACGATGACTTTCCCATGCTTGGAGTGGAATCATGCTCAAAATTGATATCAGAATCCTTTGAACACTTGCTGAGGAAGATTGGGTGGAAATACTCCACAGAGCCTGACAAGTTTAAAGAGTTCGATGGACCTTCTTGGAATCAGGTTGTCTGCAGGTGACATCACTGATGGCGTGGTCACTTTGGAGAACAAGGTATCAAGACTGGAAAACATGAAAGATGAGGGAAATCCAATCATTGCAAGGGCAAGTGAACTTCGCCATGGGCTTCGCATCTGGAAGGGCCTTGAGACTGCTGCAGAGAGCATTGGGAAGCTTCATCAGAGACCCTTCGATTCGTATAAGCGATGACTTGCGATCACTTTGCGAGTACGGGGTTAGATTGCTTGATGTTTGCACTCCGCGAGTCTTCGGATGCCGGGGACCAACAATGCCTGTGCAGATTTTCCCCGATGCTGCATATGAGAAGGGCCAAGCGACTTTTGGAATTGTCTTGATCGATGAGTTCACATCGACTCGATTGGTGGGTGGCGGCACCATCCCGAGTTCTTGAGCTTCTGGAAGCTTGACAGTCCTGATCAGGTGATTGGCCAGGCGGAAGTCTTTGCCGTGGTGTTGGCACGGGATGCCTTGAGAAAAATCATCCATGGGCGCAGGGTCATCTTCTTCATTGACAATGAAGGTGCACGTGAAATTTTGATTAAAGGGGCGAGTAAGTCGAGGACACTCTTGTTGCTCGCCAATCTATTCTTCGAGATGGAAAACGTTGACCAGTGCATAAGCTGGTTGGAGCGCGTGCCCTCGGAGAGCAACATAGCTGATGGTCCTAGCAAGCCTCCGGCTCAAACCTGTTTCTTTTGTAGGGGAGGGGAGTTTTTGAACGTAGTTTTGCCCCCACCAGCGGGGATTCCAAACGTAGCTGATGCCATGGAAGGACCTGAGAGATTTTTGCTCTTGCCGTGTGCTGAGCACCCTAATCAGGAACCAACAGTCGTCAATGACAAGACATCCAAGAAGGAGACAGTTTACATCGGCCCCAAAGGGGAGCCGCCGAAGGACGAACGTGATATCATCAAGTGCTCGCCTCACAATAAGATGCCTTTCAGTGCTTGTTGCAATGCAGGTTTTAAGCCGTCCCGAGGAACAGATCAGCCGATTAAGCTGGCCCGAGCCTTTGGTGCCGCACCCATCCGTCAGGACACACTTAGGAGCCAGCGGGACCTTCTTGCAAGCCGCGCACTTGAGGTGGCACAGCAGGCCCACGAAAGGGCACGCTCATCAGCAACTCAGGTTCACCACAGTTCGGTGCTGGACCTGGAAGCCATGGACTAGCTTCTTAGGTACAGGTGCAGGGGATGTTGGCGAAGGCCGCCCCCAAGGGAGTCCTCACCAGGCCCCTGATGATGCAGCACGGTTTTCAGGATGGTGCCGAAGCCGCGGCCCACTACCTCAGATAAGCCACTGCACAGATTCCTCGAGAGACATTGCCTCATGTACTCCCCCGCAGCATGTGTCCGCTAGCATGGTCGCCGGGGCTTCCGAGCACAGCACGAGACACCCAGCCGGCAACCAAGCACCTGCACACTCCACCCAACATTCACGACTGTCACCCTGCTCAGGTCGAACGACTGCAAATCTGGTCCGCCGCACTACTTGCAGGACAGCATCGGTTGCAGGGGATGTTGTTGCATTAGAGGGAGTTTTGCTGCATCTGTCTAGAGGGAATGCTGCAGCGCAGATCGTTGAACCCTGCTGGCTCTGCCAGCTTCAGCAGTGCAATACCCGAAGCTTTGCCGACTCAAGCATGGCGGCCGCACGCCCAGTGCGCCCCACAGCGGCACCACCTGATGATGGCGACCAAGAGGAGAGGCCGAGGCAACATCCCCGCAGCAGATGGCGGCAAGACGGCACACGACGACGAACTGCAAACGAAGTAGCGCAAAGGCAGCGTGCCATGGCCGACAAAGGAAAGGGGCAAGGAGAGAAAGGTTCAAAAGGGAAGGAAAAAGGAAAAGGAAAAGGAAAGGAAAGAGAAGGAAAAGGGAGGCCGCAGGAACGGCCCCGGCAGCAGAGGGATGATTGGGAGGAGCCGACTCAACGGCCCTACAGAGAGAAGCCCCAGCCCGCTAGGGAGCACAAAAAGTGGTCCTGGACCAACCCCCGTGATGATGATCGAAAAGACCGGGATGATCAGTGGGAAGACTCCGGCGCCGGCTGGCAGGACTATGGCAGCAGCTGGACAAACAAGCAGTGGTCGGGAGGATGGCATGACTACGCTTCCCGGAGCAGCCGCAAACGAGATGACAGTCGAGACAGCCGCGAGGATAGCCGCGAGCACAGGCGCCCACGCCAACGACACAGAGACGACTCCAGAGGAAGAGGCAGAGCCGATAGGAATACGGCCCCCTCCCGACGGAAGGAAGAAAGGGATGACAGCAGGAGCCGACCACCGGCCCGACGATACAAGAAGCCGCCCACACCGCCAACAAGCCCCAAGAGGCAGCGAGGAGACGCGAAGGGTGCCGAGGACCGGCCCCTGAAGCAGGCCCTCACCAAGCCGGCCCCCCCACAAACTGCACAGGATGTGGCCGACCAGTGGGACAGGTGGCGGTCCCTCCGGGGGGCCCCCCGCTCTTTGAGGAAGAGCGGTGCGAGCGAACACTTCAGGGACTTCATCAACAAGGGGAACTTTGCGCGTCGACACAAAGACTTCCACTCGGACGAGGTCACGCAGTCGCTCCCCAAATTCGGGAACTGGAACTTATCTTGTTTTGCACACCTCCTTCTGGGGGAGTTGCCAGAAAACAGCGAAGGCACAGGCCAATCAGCAACATATGGCCGAGCCGTTGAGTGCTGGATCCACGCGATCGCAAGTGCTCGAGACCGCACCTTCGAGAAGATGTACGCAGAGGTAGCGGCGGGGTTGACAGATCTAATGTCCCTCATGGATGGAGTTCCGACGGCGTGGTACGAGGATATGGACTGGAAGACCACAGAGCCGGAGGTAGGTAGCTTCATGGAGCACTTCTACCCCAGAGAGCGCCCAGACCACAGCATCCTGAGCCCAACCAAGGATGGAAGAAAGGACACCAAACCGGCCCCACGTGAGTGCCGAAGGGATGATCCAGAGGATGATCCAGAGGAAGACGAGAAGGTGGAAGTTGAAGTCGAGTTTACCGAGGATGAAGAGGCTGATTGGGAAGATGAGGAGTGGGAAGAAGAAGAAGAGTGGGAAGACGATGAAGTTGAAGAAGAAGCCGTCCCCGAAACTCCCCCACCCCCAAAGGCAACCGATACCAGTGAACGTCGCGAACCGGCGGGGAGCACACCAGCCAGCACCCTGGACAGCGTGGCCAGCTCGGTCTTGAGCCAGGTCTATGTTCCGTTCGACTTTGGGCAGCCGCCTCCTCGGCCCCTCAAATTCTATCGCGACTTCAAGATTTCCAAACGCCTCTCTGCTTCCCTTCGCCACGACAAAGGCGATTTCAACCTGGACTTCAGGAAGAACATGGCGGCGCCATTGCGCCAGCTGCTGGCCCACCGTATCATGACGGAGGTGGGGGTCAGCCAAGACGAAATCATAGCGGCGGTGTATCACAACGAGAAGCAGAGATTTCGCCTGCTCTGGGAAGGCGGCCCAGGCGGAGAGCTGTTGATAGGAGCCGTTCAGGGGCACTCAATGGTCGTTGACAACGCCTCAGTGCACTGTAGGGTCGACCAGGACAAGGTCCCCTATCTCGCCCACGCGACCCACTATGACTTTTACAAAAATATTGCCCGAGACGGCCTCCGAGCGGGTGGTGCGGCCGGCAAGGCCCACCGAGCACAAGTGCACTGTCTCCCCGACTGCAAGGACAGCGAGCAGTACTACCCGGACAAGGCAGACGTGATCCTCCGCATCAACCCGGCCCTTGCAAACTGCACATGGTACATGTCAGCAAACGGGTATTACCTGACGGATGATACGGTGCCCCCGAAATCCATCGTAGCGGTCATCATCAGAGCCACAGGGGAAGAGGTCCTACCCACAGACGGTCAGGCGCCCCCAGCTGAGGCAGATGTTTTGAAAGGGGTGCTGAAAGCTCACCTTTCCGGCCGTGCCTCGACCCCGGGTGGCCGTGCTCCGGCCCCACCCCGCAAGACTCGAGCAAACGCCTCGCACCGTCGTGCATATATGGCTGTCCTGCTTTCAGTAGTTTCTGCTAAATGGGCCCATGAGGACAAGCTACCAGCCCCCATACTCTCCCCCAGCATGCTGCTCCTGCAGGACCTATCGGATACGCGATCAGCACTCACCACAGCGGCTGCCGCCGGCCACAGGCAGGGCGGGATCAGAGAACTTAGACAGCGCTCAACAACGGCCCTGAGAGGGAGCCGGCATTTGCACGTACCCCTGAACCCCGCCGCTGTGTTCCGCTTGCCTCACAGGGCCCCCACAGATAGCATCGTGCAAGGATCTGTTGTAGCCACTTTCATGGCCTCGCCCTCGGACTCTTCTAGACTCTACTCCCCAGACGGGGCAGATGAACCTGATCGATCAGATGATGACGATGCATGGTTAGCCTCTACGCCGGAGGGTTTTCCTCCGAACCTGGAGCTGAGCCCCCTTCCAGACAATGCTTGGTCTGAGGATGAGGCATGGCTAGAGCCCTCCCCGGAGGTCCCCGCTTCAACACCAGTTGGACCCATGAGGGCAGAACCCGGTACGCCGGTCGGTCAGCTACTTCGGCGAGTCCCACAGCGGCAAGACTATCCGCCACAGATCCTGCGTACATTGCGGACTCCTACGACTGGAATGTCCTCGCAGACTGGGTCACCCAGGCAGGCTCCCACCATACGACCCCAGCTTCGGGAGGTCGCGGAGCGACGGTCTCGCACAGAACACATAAGGGAGCCGGCTAGAACGGCCCCTAGGCCGAGTAGAGCACCGCATCTTTCCAGGTCTTCTTCAGATCGCACAAGCAGCCCGTCCAGCCCAGGGAAGGCGGCCTCATCCTCGAACGCTGGGCTTCGTCTCTTACCACGTCAGGAGGAGCCGCATAGCACGGCACCCGCAGCTGAGCACGACTTTGGTTGGACCGGAGAACATCATTATGCACCGCCAGAGCAACCTCTTGCACCGACGACAACGGCCCCTAGCGGCACAAGACCTCCGCCAAGAAACCAGGCATGCGCAAAGATGCTCGTCAAGGCAGGCTTTCGCTGCAGTCGATGCTTTCTTCGAGTGCGGGAAGAATGTCGTTGCCCTGTGGAAGAAAATGGTGTTTACTCTGGACTCATGCACAACTTAACATCGGCCCCTGGAGGGAGCCGGATTGCACAGTGTGTCAGGCAATACTCCCCCATGACACCAAGGCCAGACGGCAGGCAGGAATCTGCGCCCCAGCACCCACTTGCAACTCCATCTCAGCTCGCAGGTACCACGGCCCAGACGGTTAACAACCAGCCAGATCTACCAGGACCGGCTGGGTACCTGAAGGTTTTTGGGGTTGGATTGGGGCTCCTGCCACTTCTGTTTAGTTTCCTCAGGCCAGCTTGTCACAATCGACTAGGGCCACCATGGCATATACAGCGCCGACTCCCCGGTATCTTTCGCAGAAGACCCCAGAATCGAAACAGCAAGCATAGAAAGCACAACTGTCAGAGCCGCGTCGGTCCCAAGTCCGACGGCCCAGCCGCTACCCACAGTTTTCACAGACGATATAGGCTGGGTGAGGTGAGGGTTCCCCCTGGGCCCCCCACAGGCGGTGAACCTACTAGTGGCAACAATCCACGGCCTTCCCACGGAGGGAAGGAGGCGGGTGGCGCGACCCCTCTCCGGGCAACTACCAAGAAGGCACACAGGCAACCACGTCCTCGCCCCCACGCGCAACGGGGGCTGGGGAAGCGAAGCCACGCCCCCGAAAGCGGAGGGAGCCGCAGATCGGCCCCAATAAGCCGTAGACAGACAGCAGCGCGCATTGCTGGAAGGGTCCTAGGCCCTGCAACTGTAGCGCCTGGCCTCTGCACCCGTCTTCTCATTTTTGCGCTTTGTTGCTTTGCTGCCGCCGCTGACACCCAACCGGTCCCTCCTGGGGCAAGGCGTGCTTTCAGAAGAGAGGCGGCTCGAGCAAGGCAAGAGGGCGCAACCACCTACAAAGGTCGAACCTTCACAGCACAACAACTCCGACATATTCTCACGAGCTAGGTACAACGAAGCCCAGGCCAGCACAACCCCCGACGACACCAACGAGGCGGAGCGAACTACAGACAGCGAATAAACATCATCTCTCTCAATGTGGGCTCTCTCTCTACTCTCTTGTGGCAGGAACTCAAGGAGTATATACTCACAG